CAATTCTGATACTCATTCTTTTAGCTTACAAATTACAATTCAACAATCACTCTTGGATGGCATCTTTAAGCCCATCTCCCACAACTTTCTATCACCTCTCCAAATGGCATCTTTAAGCCCATTCCCTCAACCATCACATCACCGAGTGCAAATTTCTGGGCACTCTAGTGTCCAATCATGTTCCACCTTCGAGTCACGAATGACAAAACTCGCCAATCTGACTCTTCAGGTTTAAGAAGATTGAACAGGGGCAGCTGTTGTACCCAAAAATTTGCCTCTCACTTATCAAGAATTTTCTCACAAGATCTCTTGGACTCAAGACTGCATTAGGGTTTGCCAGCTCAAGACACCTCCTTAAGCACTAATGGCCAAAATTAGGGTTTGAGTTTGCACAAGGATTTTTGGACTTCCAATGCACCATATGATTTCCATGGATCATTATGGACCCCCAAGGTTACTCATGTCAAGTTTCAAGCTTTGAATCACACTTTTGCTCAGTCAATTGAGCAGTTGACCTAAAAATCAATTGTATAGGAAAAAAAGTCAACCATGGCCAATTTACAGACAAACTTCATAATTTTTTATCCACATAAACATTTCAAACTCATAGGTATCATTTGATCAAATTTGGACCACAATTCCTCAAGAAATTTGATCAAATCTCCAAAAGGGCAAAATGGTCAAAATTAGGGTTTTGACTGGAAAAGGGCAATTTCTGATTTTTGACCTAGCAAATGATCAATTGGTTTAAGGCATGTTCTCAAGAGTCCAATTGCATCATTTTACCTAATAACATGGTTCAAAACATTGCAAGACCATTGGATTGACAAATGAATTTTGCAATCAACTGATCAAAAGTCAACTGTATACTAAAAAGTCAAACTTTGACTTTTAGGTCAAATTCAAGTGCCAAAGATCATGATTCATCAAAGCATGCCAAAAATATGAAACGTATTCATCAAGAAATCAAAAATTCAAGATTTCATTTTGAAAAGTCTAAATTTCTAAACTTAGAAATTTTTCTAAGTGTTGGAAATTTCATGTTTTTTTCTTAACTTTGAGCAAACTTTTTACCATGATGCAAGATGATTCAAGAGAAACTTCCAACATGAAAGTTGTAGATCTCCATGGTATCTATAACATTTATTTACATAACTTCTCCTAAATATGCTTGGATTTCAAGTTATAAATTCATGAATTCATGACATTTTCATTTAACACAAATTTTCAGCAGTTTTGGTCAGGTTTTTATCCCAACTTCTTGGCCAATTTTCATCAAGTTCCAGTTTCATTTAACGAAACTGGTCAACATGAAAGTTTTAGAGGGTGTTTCAAGCTTTCCAAAACATCAAAGAGCATTAATTTATCATATTTAACCTAGGAGATTCAAGAGCATGAAGTTGAGCATCCGTTATTGAGTTGCAAGTCATTTTAGTGAAGAACACATAACAAAACTCTTATAATTTGCTGCATAGTCTTATGTTGTAGGCCTCCTTGCTTGCAAATATCATCATAATTTAATTTTTACACAAGATATTGAACTATTACCCAAGTGTTTAAACCATTGTCCAAAAGATCTTTCCATTTATGGCATAAAGGCACAATTGCTATTCTTAAAAAGCAAGCTTTTTGTACAAAATTTGTCTTAAGCCCATACCTTGCTTGTTGCTGATTATACTACACCATAAATCATGGGAAGTAGCTCCTCTATACCAGAAACTTTGGTACTTCACCTTGGGACTATGGAGTACTTGACATAGTTTGATTTTTGTAATCCAACCAAACCATAACATGTTGTCTTGCAAACTTAGTCAGCTCATATGCACAAACCTCCTGCCTTTAAATAGAAGAAGCATTTGAAAGACAAAGGGGTTAGAGAAAGGATAGAGAGAAAAGCCATAAGTTATATTGGTAAACCCTCAAAATCTCATATTCACAAAAGCCATAACAGTCCACAAAACTTCCACTCTTGAGTTTTAAAGTCCAAACCTTTGAACCTCTGATACCTTACAAATTATGTCCAACCATCTAAACACTCCACATACATCATATAGAAGTTGTTCAAACACAAGAAAAACTTCTGTAACATGACTATCATCACTTCCCAAGCTCAACAACAGCCCATACAGTAGCTCAAACTCAAAGCACAAATTTCAGTTTCAAGGTAAGTTTTCTTGATTTTGAACTCTTCATACAAGCATCATTAATGGTTCATTTGTGAAGATAAAATGTAGATATCATTGCCTTAAAGCGAACCATATGATTGCTTTTCATTTTCACTAACCATGTGTTGATAATTGACTTTAACGTGTAGCAAAACAGTGATAAAAACAAAAAACAACAGTTATGCATCGACACGAAATGCTATGAGTCGACACATATTATGTCCAAAACAGGTTATGAGCCGATGCAAACTGTTATGTGTCGATACAAAATGTTGCATGTGTCGACATGAAATGCGAATGTGTCGAATCATACTGAGTTAATTTTAATTTTTCAGCAGCAAGGAAGTTTTCATATCAATACGTAATGGCATGCGTCAATACATAAATTGTTTTCGTATCAATACGTAATGGCATGCGTCAATACATAAACTATTTTTGTATCAATACATAAGTGTATGTGTCAATACATAAAAAAATTTCAAAACAATTTTCTTATTTTATTTATTTATTTATTTTTGTACATTATTTATTCATTCAATATGGTTGTAATAGTAAATTAGGATTTATTTGCTTTCATCCCCCCATTTGTAAATTTGTATCCCCATCCCCCAAATGATGTAATAGCGTAGGATTTTAACTTCCGCAACTTATCGCTTTAATATAATTGTTAGTAATTAGGGTGTGTATGGCAAGATAAAATCAACAAGTAGAAAACCCTAATACAAGACAAAACAAGCATGAAAATCAATACACTTGCACACAAACACCCCTAGGGTAAAATCCACTTGATTGCCTTATAAATGGTCATATTATGCATGTGAGGTATCTTAGCAAAAACAATCAAAATACACGATCATAGTCCCTCGATGACGCTACGAATGTTGCCTTACAAATGATCTTAGTCCCTCAAGAGAAGTGCTAAGATACCTTGCAATATTGCTAATCATGGTTATACGATGACCCGCGCCCGTCTGTTTACATCCAAAGATAGGGTTGTTTACCAAATCAATGGTAAGACAACAATATCAAAGGAAAAGAAAATGAACAAGAAAGACTTTTGAGTAGGAAGAATGTTCCTAATTACTTGCTCAATTTCAAACAAACATCCTTGCTATTTTCAAAACAAACACCTACACTTTCAAACATCTTACAAAATTGAAAACATTTTCAAAAGATCAACATCTTTGTATACATTCTTACGAACGCGAATCATTATAAAGATTGCCTAAACAATGGCCTCTTTACAAAATACCTTCAAAAACCACACAAATCACAATTTCAAACAAAAGCAAGTGATCTAGCAAGTAAGAAGAGCCCATGGGAAACCATGGATAAAAAGGGTGTTAATACCTTCCCTTTTTATAATCTACCCCCCGAACCCAAGAAATAATCTCAAAGGTCTTTCCTGAGCTTTTTCACTTTTCCTTTTGGATAAAAGAAAAGTTGGTGGCGACTCTTGCTAACCGCAACATTTGCAATCAAACGCAAAACACCCAAGTCAGTTCTCCCACCGTATCACAGTAACCAATCAAATTTGCACTTGTTTCTAACAAAATCCTTGATTGGCCTGCTCCTGTAATGAGTATATAATATTCTAGATACTCATATCTTAAAATTAAATCTTTAAGGATATCCAAAATCAGCGCCTGCGGTATCGGACTCAGGATGTCACATCATCTTCAGTGACATCTGGCAGAAAACTCATAACAACAAAACTTCTATGATAGTTGATGAAGATGCTCCAATATCTTACTCAACATCAACATAGAATCATGCTTAGCTAAAATTTAGCCAACCATAAAAACATGGAACTAACAATGTATTTTTGACAAGTTTCTTGATCCCCAAGTAACCTCAATTTATGACCAACATTTCCCCTTAATGACCATTCATGACTCAATCTATGCCTTCCATATGTACATCCCCAACAAGAAGTTACAACTACTCAAAACAAGCCTAAAGTCTTGGAATAGGGAAGTTTTTTTAAAACATTCATAGCCTAGTTAAAACATCTTCTAAAAGAATAGCCATCATTCAAAATCAAACTCATATTTGGTGTTAATAAATTGAATCTTTGAGTTTAAGAAACTATGGCCCAACATGATCTAGAATAAGTCACTACGCCAAAAAAGACTTACGAAAGCGCTTTTTTTTGCCTTTAAAAGCGCTTAAAAGCGCTTTCTATGGTGGCACTGCTATAGGTTTTAGCAGCGCTTTTTGTTTAATGAAAAGCGCTTTCGTAGGTCTACCTAATACAACACTTTTTCTAAAAAGCGCTCTCTTAAGTAGGCTTTTAGCAGCGCTTTTTTATGAAGAGGCGCTTTCATAGGTGGTCTTTTAGCCACGCTTTTTCCTGGAAAAGCGTTGTCACATGTTTACCTTAGACAGCGCTTTTTGTGAAAAAGCGCTTTCATAGGTTACCTAAGGCACCATTTTTCTTGAAAAAGCGCTTTCATAGGGTGTTTTTTTCAGCTTCACCATCCACTGCAAGAAGATAAATATTATTGAGGAACTTAAGGAAGAGGCTTCAAAAAGTAAATAGAAAGGATTACAGTGCATCACTAACCATGAGAGTGGAAAGTAAAACATTTAGATTAGTGTAGAGTTATTTTTTTTAAATATTAGTGGAAAATCTTTTTAAAAGGCAAATTTTTGCATATATATTGTATAAATTTCCTTACAGTATCTCATCCAATTATATATTGTTAAATGTTTACTAAAGTTTCATTATTAAAACAAGAACTAACAGTAAATAAAATTTATTTAGAGATTTAACTTGATAAGTCGTGATTTTTAAATTTAAATTCAAACATAACTATGAGAAGTGATAATAGCTCATGAAGTATGAAAAACAAAAATTAAAACACATACCAGAGTCTTATTCCCTAGAAGTTCAAGATTGTTGTTCTTTAACTCAATGGAAACTAAATTTTCTCGATAGAAGTTTATAGGAATTTGACTTAATCCATTCCATGACAGCCATCTCAGATCTCTAGAAACATATTCAAAATCTCCATCAAGTTTTACCTCATCATGTTGAAGGAGTCTGAGACTCTCCATCTTCTCAAATGCTTTAGTACTAAAACATTTTGCATTAGCTCTAGGAAGCTTTAAAGCCAGTCCCAAAACACCTTCTTTTCCCTATAAAGTAAAATGAACCAAAAAGAAATAACATCAATAAGGCAGGTATAAAACTGTCATGAATCCAATCATATATTAAAACTAACTAAAAGAAATAACATCAATAAGGCGGGTATAAAATTGTCATGAATCCAATTATATATTACAACTAACAAAAAGTCAGGAAGCACAAAAAGATTCACCATCAAACTAATTTTCGACGATCTCTTAATAATCAACAGAACAAAGGGATATTAACAATTGAATCATAAATGTTTCTTTTAACTTCTTAAGCTCTAGATATTATGAATCCATAGTTCTAAGAAAATAGTATATATGAAGCTCTTACATTTTGTATTGATAATACGTCAACCACATCCTCGTGAAACCACAACCTACTACGTTCCTCAGGCCTCCTTGGTGATTCCTCACGAATGATTTCTCTTCCCATATCTCGCATTCTTTCTCTCTTAGCATGTTACTTCTATGCACAACTTATTAATAACTTCTATGACAGTAGAAACCATGCTTTCTCAAAATCATTAACCAAACAAAAGCACACGAAAACCAGACAAACACAAACGAGATGAGGAAAAAAAACCCGGAATAGCATTACCTCTTTAGAATACTCATCAAGTATGCAAGGTTTCAATTTCATGTTTTTGAACAATGTCCCAACTACAACACACTCTTTGCCCTCTTCAAGTCCAAACACCGTGCACACTGTCCAAATCACCACAAAATTTCAAGTAATCAAACATAAAAAAACAATCAGATTAAAAAGGCACGATAGATTTAAAGCAAAACCCTAAGTTGAAAAAATATGAAGGAAAGGGTAAAATGCAAACCAGGAGAATTAGATTTCCATTGGGAAACAAGGGAATACAAGAGAGTTCGCATCAATCGAAGACGAGCGTAGTATATTTGACTGTACTGCTGTCCACGATACATCTCTTTCCCAATTTCGAACGGTTCATCCTGCAACAAAATCGAATTAGCATGTCTTCAGAGTTAACAACACAAACACAGTGAGAGAGAGGGGAAGCACTGAACCTAAGATTCGTAGGAGGATTGGATTCTCTCCATTGCTATGGTTTGGCGGGGAAAGTTCGAAACTCGCTGTTGGCCAGAGAAGTGGAGCACCGTTGACCGCCGTAGAAGCTCTGGTTTAGGGTTTTTTCGTGAAGAAAATCTGACAGAGAATAGAAAAGTGATACGAATTGTGTTTTGATATTTATTATAAAACTACCTATGAAAGCACTTTTAAAAGCGCTTTCTAAAGGTCATCTATAACAGCGCTTTTACATCAAAAAGCGTTTTCGTAGCATATCCTATAACAGGGCTTTTAAAAGCGCTTTCTAAAGGCCAGCTTTAGCAGCGCTTTGGAAAAGCGCTTTCTAAGGTTGACCTTTAGCAGCGCTTTTGAAAAGCGCTTTCTTAAGGTACCCTCTGAAAGGCCAGCTTTAGCAGCGCTTCCCAAAAAGCGCTTTCTAAGGGTGACCTTTAGAAGCGCTTTTGTAAAGCGCTTTCTTAAGGCACCCTTTGAAAGCGCTTTTTTAAGCGAATTTTTTTTAAAACCTACAGCAGCGCTTTTTTCCAAAAGCGCTTTCTTTTATGTGCTGCTAAAACTTATTTTTGGCGTAGTGAGTCCTTTCTAAGGAAGAAATGTTCTGGTTAGAAAAATCTAAATAGCACTTGAAGGGGGGTAGAAATAATTATTTCTTCCATAGAACAATAAAAATTAGAAACCCCAAAAACAAAATCACTTACTTGAGAAAAAATGAGGACTTGATCCATGACCTTGTAGAGTTGGAAAACCATGTTGTTCCATATTTTACTAACATTTTTGTTTTGTAGATATTCCTCAAGATTTATCTATGGTGGATGAGGTGATTCCTTTTTTGGTGGACTATAACATGAATTAATTCCTCACTATGATTATTTCTTTAGAGGAGATTAAGATGGAAGTATTAAATCTTAGAAAAGACAATGATTCTGGCCCTGGTGGCTTTGGAGGGCTCTTCTACTACACCTATTGGCATATCGTCAAGACTAATGTTAATGCAGTTCTTCAATTCAATAAAGCTGGTTAGGTTCTTCCTAAGTACAACTCCAACATTATAATCCTGCTACGAAAATCCAAAGAAGCGAACACAATGAACAAGTCCAGGGCCATAGCTTTGGAAAATTTTAAGTTAAAATTATATCAAATATCATTGCAGATAAACTAGCTACCTTCATGCCATCTCTGATTTCCTTGTAGCAAAAAGGGTTCATTCAAGGTAAATATATAAAGGACTACATTTATCTTGCTTCAAAAGCCATAAATCACCTGGATAACAAATATTTTTGTGGGAACCTATCCCTTAAAGTAGACATAGCAACGGTTTTTGACATAATTAGTTAGGAGTTTCTTCTACAGGTTCTAAAAAAATTTGGTCTCAACACAATCTTATGCAATTAGACACAAACTATCATAGCCCCCAGCCTTTCTTTATGTATCCATAAATGGTGCTCATAATGATTTTTTTAACAACACAAGAGGAACCAGACAAGGATATCTACTATCTCTTTTCCTGTTTTGCCTCGCAGAAGAAGCTTTAAGTAGAAGTATTGCTAAACTTGTGGAGGATGGTTCCCTAAAGCTTATAAAAAGTAGTAAAGGCAACTATATTCTCTCACATGTCATGCAAAAAATGACATATTAATATGCAAAGGAAATATCTCCAACATCGAAGTCCTTATCAACCTTTTCAATAAGTAGTCTCTTTTATCCGGTGACAAAGATAATAGTTCCAAATCTTCTATCTATTCAAGTTATATTCTCTCTACTAGGATACTTCACATTCTCACCATAACAGGTTTCTCAAGAGTATCATTTCCCTTAAATTACAATGGAGTTCTTATTTTCAAAGGGAGGGTTAAGGCAATATACTTACATCGTATTGCGGATAAACCAATTTCCAAAATGGCTACATAGAATGACCCTACTCTCTCAATGACTGGTAGAGTTTATTTTTTGTTAAACCTATCATTCAGAGCATTCTCACTCTTACCATCACATGCTACTATAGGCCTATTGCATTATTGAAAGATATTGGGAAATATAGGAAAAAGAAATTTTTTGAATGTGCTTGAGTGAGTAAAACACTCAGCAACTATGATATTTATACACACTATATAATTAATTACATATTATGTTTATAAGGAGAAATAAATAATAATCCAACTCTCTAAATTCATGAATCTAAATATACATGAATCTAAAACATAAATGCTCATTTTAGTGGGAAACATACAATGTATTTTTTCTATTCCAACACTCCCCCTCAAGTTGGTGAATAAGTATTCTCCATTCCTAGCTTAGATACAATTTGTTCAAAATTTGAGCTACTCAATCCTTTAGTGAGAGTATCCACAAGTTTCCCTTGTGAGGACACATATGGGGTGAAAATCAGCCCACAATCAAGATTCTCCTTAATGAAGTGCCTATCAATCTCAATATGCTTAGTTCAATAATGTTGAATTGGATTATGTGCTATACTGATAGCTGACTTATTATCATAATAGAGCTTCATGGATCCTTCCCATTTGATTTTCAAATCTTCTAAAATAATTTTGAGCCAAAGTAATTCACAAATGCCTTGTGCCATGGCTCGAAATTTAGCTTCAACACTAGAACCAAGTACTACATTTTGCTTCTTACTCCTCCAAGCACAAGATTTCTTCCAAGAAAGGTGCAGTACCCTATAGTGGATCTTCTATCAACAATTGAACCTACATAATCGGCATCAGTGTAGGCCTCCATGGTTGTATTTCCATTTCTTTTGAACAAAATTTCTCTTCCTGGAGTTCCCTTGAGATACTATAGAGTTCTATGAACTGCTTGTAAATGGTTTTCTTTAGGATAGTGCATGAACTGAGTAACCATACTTACATCATATGCAATATCGGGTCTAGTATGAGACAAGTAAATTAATCTCCCAACTAGACGTTGATACATTTATTTATCAAGTGCAACATTTTTTAATGTATTACCCAATTTAAGTTTTAGATCTATAGGAACGCTCACAGGTTTACTCGCTTGTTTTCCCGTATCTTTGAGTAAATCTGTAATGTACTTTTGTTGAGATATAAAAATGCCTTTTTGGGAATGTGCCACCTCAATTCTCAATATGTACTTCAGTTTTCCAAGAGTTTTTATTTCAAACTCCTTATCCAAACAATGAATTAAGATTTGTTGCTCCTTTCAAGCATCTCCTATCGTTATAATGTCATCCACATATACTAACAGAATTGTTACTCCCCCTAGTGGAGAGTGTTTGATGAACAAAGTGTGATCCCCTTGACTTTGCTTGTACCCCAAAGATGTTATAACCTTAGTTAATCTTCCAAACCATGCTCGAGGTGATTATTTTAGTCCATATAACGCCTTTTTCAACCTGCAAACTGTATTGTCTGACACATTTTTTTCATACCCCGATGGTACCTGCATATAAATCTCCCCTTCAAGTTCCCCATGTAAGAAGGCATTCTTTACATAAAATTATTGTAAATCCCAACCATAATTAGAAGCAAGTGACAAAATTACTCTCATTGTATTCATCTTCGTAACTGGAGCAAATGTCTCTGAATAGTTAATTCCATAGGTTTGTGTAAACCCTTTGGTAACCAACCCGACTTTATATCTTTCGATTGATCCATCAGCCTTATATTTTATTGTGTACACCCATTTGCATCCAACTGGCCTCTTTCCTTCTTGTAAAGTCACTAACTCCCAAGTTTCATTCTTCTTCAATGCGTCCATCTTGATATGAGAATTTTTGAAAAGAAAGATAGTTTGAAAGGGAATATAAAGGTTGTTTGGTGCATTTTCTAGTACATTTTCTAATAGCAATTGGAAGTTATAGGTTATCATTTGTTGTTTGGGTCATCATTTTATATTATAATTTAGAAGAATTACTTACCTCATTTGAAGGATTCAAATCAGGCTCTTGAACTTATATCGATTCAAGAATGGCATTTGACTTTCTCATGTAAACCAGATTCTTTCCATATCTTACATCCACTTCAGGTCCAAGTTTAACTACTGGTGTATTTGATTGATTTGACTCAACTTCTAGTTCTTCATCCTCAAATGGTCTAGTACAAGTGTGTTTAACTCAAGACCAGAAATATTGGGTCTATTTGACTCGAAATGGGAAGAATTAAGTGGATTTGACTCGAGACTAGAGAGATTGAGTGTATTTGGATCATGACCCGAATAACCAAATGTATTTGACTTAACACTAGACAGATTGAGTGTATTTGACTCAAGACTAGTAAGATCGAGACATTCAAGCTTATCTTCCATAAATCCCCCCCTGGAGATAAGGTTGAGTGAAGTACGGTTCCTCCTCATGAATGATAACATACCGCGATACAAAAAGCTTTTTAGATAGAGGATGGAAACCCTTATAT